CCATTTAAATATCAATTGTTAGACCGTTAGAAAATGTCAAAAAAATATCTTCTGAACCTGAGGTACTATCACCTGCATCGAGTCAAGAACCACAGACCACTTCTTCGAGGCAAGTTTCTATGACTCGTATAATTGAAGACGAGAAACACTCTAAACTATTTTAGGAAAATCAGAGTCATTTATACTATTCATGACGGCAGAATAAAACGGTGAATGACTTGGTGACCATAAACTGGCTGTTGAATGCCATTTTATGACCAGTTTTTGCCATTTTGAAATGGAGAAAAAACGGACATTTAATGGCCACATTTATGTGGCATTAGTTAATGCGGTCCAATAAATGGAGGAAAATGCCATTTAATGGTGTCCGTAAAATGGCAATTTTTCAGACATTGCCTATAATCTGGCATTATTTTCACCGTTATTTCAAAGTCAAAAAAATTATCATTATAATGCCTGTTAAATGCCAATTTTCATTCGATTTTGACATAATTAACAGGTCCTTTTTTGGCATACAGTTAACAGGCTGTTAATGGACAAAAAAATGCCAGTTTTCGTCGACCTGGGACTTCTATCGATACCAGCGTTAAAATCCTACGCTACGTTCTAGATAACTCGTACTTCGTTTTGGAAAATCAGCATTACTGGCAGATGAGAAGAGGAGCAATGGGTAGTGTAGTTAAACAGGTTCTACCCGATGACTACATGCGTAAGTGATTAAGTACTGCTGGACACACAGACTAGGAAGCATCAATTATATTTTCGATTTTGAAACGACATTTATCTAACTACCAAGAAACTACTCTTTGACATGGTTAAAATATTAAAGAGAATGAACAACCAAGACCCATATATAAAATTGACCTATGAGACGGAAGATCATTGAAATTGTAAGCCTCATATTCGAGCTATTAAAGCTCAAGTCAAAAAAACATTTCAGACGAATTATGTTATTTATTGGCAACCAGCAGCAAAACCGTACGTCTTACCGTTCGAATCTCCACATCTGACGACGTACTCAGCACTAAGCCTGTTACAAGACTTTTACCTGGAGTGCCCTAAAGTAAAAAGAATTTTTTTTGTTATGCATGAAAATACTTAGCTGGCTGGTTTACTATTTAATCAGTATCCAAGTCGTTTCATCGGTGCACATTTTAACTAACTAATGGCAAGATGAGAAATTTAGAATCACTATTTCATACACTAGAAAAATACGAGTACTGCCGAGCTAAAATAGGTTGAAATCAAATTAAACAAGCTCGAAAAAGTGTTCATCTAAAAAAGGATGGTTTAGTTCATTTCACAGTTGCATCATCTCTTTCAAAATTCCGAGTAAAATTATTCAAAAAATGTTAGTTAGAAAGAAGCCTGCAAGATCCCTCATATGAGTCCTACTGGCTGCTGATAGTTAGTTACTCTTCTATTTAGAGCTTCCGGCGTCAAATAGACCCGATGATCCTTTCTGACGGCTTAATAATTAAAGATCATGTAACTGTTCAATCTAACATCCAAATACTAACGAAATTAGCAATGACACATTTAACTTAGCTTAAAATGACACTAACTATGAGAGTTATTTTTATTTCAACATCTCTAGTAACGAAATATTGCAACCGATCTCTATGCCAGCTATCCCTGCTACGCACACACTCCGTCCAGTCGCAGTAGAAATACCTATGAATCCCAAATACATGAATTCTAAAAGTTAGTTTTGTTTCGTTAATAAGTTTTTCATTTCTCTTTGCTTCCATGGCAATCTCCTCATTTCGCTACCGTTCTAGAGTTATCACGTTGCCACAACTCTTTTCATAAAGCGAATTCAAAGATGGCCAGATGTGCTCTTTTCTACTAATATTTATTTAAAAACCTTCTATAATATCATCGTTTTGTACAACATCTTGAAAAGATAATTATCAGCGACAACTAAGTTTCCCTAAGTGCCACTATTTGGGTTTATTATTGGTCGAAACGGTCTGACAACGCGCTCATACAGCGCTATAACGCATTTTTCATCGGTTGAGATAGCACATTCTCCCCCGACCTACGTGGTATTAAAGCACCCTGTTTTAACTACTCCATAAACAATGCTGCTCCAATCCGATCTCAGAACACAACAAATTGTACAATTTTTTAATTGATTCACAGTAAAAACTTCATATTTTATTAGTTCAGGAGACTTATACCAAGTGACTGAAAATCATCGATGTTTCTTGTTGTTGTTGTTGTTGTTGTTGTTGTTTCTTTTTTCCTAGTTGCGATGGCACGGATTTTCTGCATTAGAGTCAATCCCGATGGCGGTGTGTCAACGAAATTATCACCATTGATCGTCTCGCCCTCTAAATCTCTGTTGGTCTCAGCGACAGAATTAAGAAGTGAAGAAGGAATTGTTCCTAAAAGAAAAACAAATCATGAATCGTACAATACTCCTCCAGTCCATTGCAGGATTATTCGTTCGACCACGTGCATATCAATAACATCTGTCACAAACCTAGTATCGTACCGCTAAAGGATGCAATTCAATGACTAGCTCGTCTCTCGTCCACTGCTCTCAGCACCAATACAAAAGTAGTGAATTATAGGTCACGATACGACGTTCAAAACAGGTAGAGGCAACTGAACTATACCTTCTTTTGACACAAGAGAAAAAAGTTCATTGATTTGTTCACGTTGTGTTTCGATCAAATGATGTAGTCGTTCCGATTCTTTATTCATAGCATCCATCTCCTCTTCATGTACATTTACATCTAAAGTAGACAAAAAGCAGTTTTTTCCCTCATGAATGTACGCATTAAGTCATCCTTTACGCTGTCACAAATAGTCTTACCTGCTACTGTGCTTGATGCACAAGGTGATGGCTGACCTGCTACTACAGTATTATTATTCAGCAACGTCATCTTTAATTGACATATTTCGGCATGTAATTGTTGAACATTTTCAATATTCTCTTTTTGTTTTTGATCAATTAACTGGTTAATATCATCATCTAATGATTGAATATCGTCTGATTTTGTTGTTGCATTGTTGGACAATGAACCATTCGGTGACGGTACAATTGAACGTATCATATCAAATAAACGAATGATTAAATGACGATTACAATCATGATATGTATTGCTTCCATTTTTTAAATCACTTCGATAATGACAAAGTGCATTCCATAGTGCATCGTATGAATCATGGTCATCGATGAAAACATAGTCTCGATTTTGTATTGAATGCTTTGCTGATGCGACATTGTCGTCGTCTGCTTCTCGATGTGTTTCGGTCATCTTGCGTTTCGATGATAAGAGTTGAAATCTTTATCTAGGAAGAGTAGAACCTAATTGAAGTGAAAAGTATAATAAAGTCTTCTCGGCATTGTCTTGTTAACGTATGTTTCTCGGTTTTGTATTCCTATTAAATCTCGATCTCTGGTTTTGGAATTAGATAAACATAAACAAGCTCCTTATTTAGCACTGATCTTTGAAAACATAAACAGTAGAATCATATCCTCTGATCTCACTAAAGCGTTAATCATGACTAAGCTGAAAAATTTGTAATATGAGTCTGACCTTAAGCGCAATGAACTTTATACACGATGAAAAGATGATCAGTGTGGACAAGAGTAGAAGTAATCGTGATTAAGCTAGTCTTTGTCAAAGAAATTTACGTCGTCATCAAATTTTTGATCATCCATTTCAGGAAAGTATTTGTTTTTCTGATCTTAATAATCGGTTTCATCGATCTTTTAATTTTTGTAGCAACTACGTTTTTGTATTTAGTACAAGGGGGAAAAGGCGGAATGGCCTGGAATAGCCCATTCCAACCCATTCCGTACCATTCTACACCATTCCAAAACGCTTTTCCCCCCTTGGTTTAGTAGCGTTTAGTAGAATTTCATTCTATCGTATTCATTCTATATATAAAAAATGAACCAACTTTGAGTAATTTGAGAATTTATTTGCTATTGTTAACCAGGATTTATATTTCAATCGTGCTCAGCGTGGCCATGGTCCATTAAAAAAATCGCAGTTACTATACAAAGTCGTTAGTCACAACTGACTTTATGCATCATTATTTATAATCAAAATTAAGGCTATTGTGTTCCTATAGTGATAATTATACTAAAAGAGCCAGTTACCATATTTTGGATGACTATTCAATAGCTTTTGAATAGCGCGATCGTTACAACGGACCGTTTTACACCGTTTAACTGGAGCCGTTTTATAGTTTCAATCCTTTAGTGTCAATCATGCCTACTACGGTATTATGTTTAGTGCCAGACCCGAGTCTAAGAGCCGCTTCCTCTAATCAAGTTTCGTTGACTTGCATGTATGAGGACAGGAAAATTTCTAAGTTAATCAGTGTTGCATATATGCTAGCAGTGGTAGCAAAACAAAAGAGATGAATGACTCGTCGACAAAGCAGTCCGTATACAACATAGACTCTGGGAAATTACCCCCAATCGTCCCGCCAATGAACAGACCGTTTTTAGACTATTAACTGGCGTTCTTAAACTGGCAGTTTATTGTAACGTTAACAGATCGTCCTTACGCCATTTCCACAATGTTAACAGGCCGTTTTGTAAGTGACCGTTAGCTGGAGTTATCCGATCGTTAATCAACTGTTCCAGTTGAGCTTGGCTAACTATAATATAAAAAAATCTGCACTTTTATATTTACTTTTTAAAAACTTGTTTACTGGTAATGCGACATAGATCATAAATGGGATAACGAATACTACGATAGTTCAGATGTCTGTTTGAGAATCTAACATTTTCTTTATTCAAACAGCTGTAGATGTATCTAATTTATCACAAATCTGACTGTCTATTAAAATGGCTGTTTTGATAGTATCCATACTCGTGAAATGCAAGAATAAATTGATTCAACCATTAAAATTCCATAAAATACGACCAATAAAATTAACGAATCTTTTTCGCTTCTAATCATTTCATCCATAGTTTTATTTACCGATGAGCAGACTGTATCTGACACTGACATTTTCTTTCTTATTCGTAGATTTGTTCTTAATTTCAATCGTAAAACGGCATCAGATATTCAAAAAAGGCGGCAAAAATAACTGGAGTGACGCGATGAATTTTAGTTTACTTTTTCATCAAACTACGAGTTTAATAATAAGTAATATTAATTTATAAAAGTCAATGTTTGAAATCTATTATACTAGTTGAGAAAATTACTCTACACATATCTCAATTGTCTCCTGAAAATGGAATTTTGTGTTTAATCAGCGATTTTTACACATAGAGAAGATTTTCATTTAAGACAGACAGTATAATCGAAATAAGTATAAAAAATGAGTAGAATAATGTTTCTTTTGAATGAAATTACTTTTCGTTAGCAATCACCGTAGGTATTCTTTTTGATAAAAATAATAGTTCAGCTATTTAAACTGCCGCTTTTCGTAAAACTCATCAAATTTACTCGATAATTGCATCATCGACAGGTCAAAATTCTTCTTTTTCAATTACTTCTCATTAATTATATTTTCATCGGACGAATCACCATCGAGATGGGATAAATTGTATTTACTTCAAGCTTTGTATTATCCTAACATTGTCATTTACACTATTGAGTTCAATAAGAATATAATAAAAAATTGTCTTTATTAAATAGAATAAGAAGAGAAAACATTTCGTTTCACCATTATTGAACTATTCTCTGTACAAAAGTTGGACACACTAATGGAAAAACATCTCAAATGATGTACAATTTATAAAATGGTAAAATATGAAAGGATCGTGCTGTGACTTCTCAATACAATTTAGAGAAAAAGCAGTATTGCAGAAAATAGAAAGAAATTGTTTTTTCATCTAAAATTGTAAAAAATACAAATGAATCCACTGTTTTACAGCATATTTAGATGAATATAAAAAAATAAAAATAGATTTACAGATAAGATATAAATAATGTTTCTGTATCCATGATGTTTCAATCCAGACAATCAGAAAGATGTGCCATATAAAGTGCTTCATTATTGCCTGGAAATTTTTCAGCACACGAAGGACATTCAAATATTTTGTCTTCTATTTTTGGTAATAAACATCTTTCAACATGTTCAGACATTTCTACGGCATTCATTATTGACGGAAAACTGACATCACATATCGGACATTTATTTTCATCTTCTTGCTTTTGTTCTACTACCGGCTGCTGTTCTTCTTCTTGTTGATCATTGCCATTTTCAATAGAGTCTATGGTTTCTTTATTCGATGGTAATCGTTCAACTATTGGCTGTTCGTTATTGTTTAATAATGGTAATTTAATTTCATCATCTATCGTTTAAAATAAAGCAGAATAACAGCACAGTTTCTCTACTTAATCGTACATTCTAGATACTTTTATTAATTTTAGATGTTCCGAATTGTACAAAGTTCGAAACATTAAAAATTAATAAAAGTATTAGAAAATTAATGAAACTTACAATTTAAAAGTGATGCGAACGAATGCGACGGACTTATACCAGGCGAATGAAAATCATCGATGTTTCTTGTTGTTGTTGTTGTTGTTGTTGTTGTTTCTTTTTTCCTAGTTGCGATGGCACGGATTTTCTGCATTAGAGTCAATCCCGATGGCGGTGTGTCAACGAAATTATCACCATTGATCGTCTCGCCCTCTAAATCTCTGTTGGTCTCAGCGACAGAATTAAGAAGTGAAGAAGGAATTGTTCCTAAAAGAAAAACAAATCATGAATCGTACAATACTCCTCCAGTCCATTGCAGGATTATTCGTTCGACCACGTGCATATCAATAACATCTGTCACAAACCTAGTATCGTACCGCTAAAGGATGCAATTCAATGACTAGCTCGTCTCTCGTCCACTGCTCTCAGCACCAATACAAAAGTAGTGAATTATAGGTCACGATACGACGTTCAAAACAGGTAGAGGCAACTGAACTATACCTTCTTTTGACACAAGAGAAAAAAGTTCATTGATTTGTTCACGTTGTGTTTCGATCAAATGATGTAGTCGTTCCGATTCTTTATTCATAGCATCCATCTCCTCTTCATGTACATTTACATCTAAAGTAGACAAAAAGCAGTTTTTTCCCTCATGAATGTACGCATTAAGTCATCCTTTACGCTGTCACAAATAGTCTTACCTGCTACTGTGCTTGATGCACAAGGTGATGGCTGACCTGCTACTACAGTATTATTATTCAGCAACGTCATCTTTAATTGACATATTTCGGCATGTAATTGTTGAACATTTTCAATATTCTCTTTTTGTTTTTGATCAATTAACTGGTTAATATCATCATCTAATGATTGAATATCGTCTGATTTTGTTGTTGCATTGTTGGACAATGAACCATTCGGTGACGGTACAATTGAACGTATCATATCAAATAAACGAATGATTAAATGACGATTACAATCATGATATGTATTGCTTCCATTTTTTAAATCACTTCGATAATGACAAAGTGCATTCCATAGTGCATCGTATGAATCATGGTCATCGATGAAAACATAGTCTCGATTTTGTATTGAATGCTTTGCTGATGCGACATTGTCGTCGTCTGCTTCTCGATTTGTTTCTGATAATCCATTATGCTGTTGATGCTCATAGATCTCATGATTGTTATCAGAGATAATTGAAGGATTAATTATTGTAATATCCGAATCATCCTTAAAGCATACAATAACGATGTTTAACATTATAAAGTGGAAAAATACAAACTGTGTGTGTGTGTGTTTGGAATTAAAATATATACTGGATTCACGAAAGATAACAACTTTTTGGTTGTCCATTAACGATGTGAAGTACGGATGTTCAAGTTTCAAGCAATGTGACTGTGACAAAATATCTATCAGTGTCTCTCTCAAAACGGATATGATGTCACAGTAACTTTTCAACTAACCTGACCGATTGACGAATTATACATAGCCATCTTGCGTTTCGACTATAAGAATTGAAATGTTTATGAAAATAATCTAGAAAAAATAGAACATAGTTGAAGTAAAAGGAATAATAAAGTCTTCTCAGTAGTTATCTTTATTAATTTATTTTGTTTACATCGTTCAAAAAAAAAGTGCTAAGAAACTTAAATAACTAGAAGAAAATCCACAATTACTTAATAATAGTGGAAAAACTAGATTATTCTGATTATTTTCTAAAGTCATTATGATTCATCATGAAGTATCGAAACGTGGCTTTATTTTACTTTTTCCCACACAATTGTTCTTCTTGCTGCTGTACATATATTCAACTCGTATATATAGAAATATGGGTTATAGAAGGAAGGAGTTGATTACACGACATACGAATGAGTCATATGAAGAATGGAAAGAAGGCAAAAATTTACGTATCAGAGTATTACTAATAATTTTATTGACTAACGATGGTGAAAAATAGTCTAGAAGATGATTTTTTAAAATGTAGAGAAAAATGTAAAATATGAATAAAATATACTGTATCCAGCTTTCATGTGAAAAACTTACAAGATCATTCCATTAGAGGATTCAGATAATATTCATGTATTCTCAGGTGTTCACTCGGGATTCAGAGTTAGGTCATCGTTAAAAGACACTTTGCTGTACATATCCACTGAGTTGTGTAAAATTCTTGCAAGCAAATACGATGAAAGTCAAATCGCTAATCATCATCGAGTAGTCATTGTTATTAATAAAATGTCAAAGTCTAAAACTTTTTATTCGTCAGGATAATTGTTGTGCGCCAGGGTTGTTATAATCTTTATTAAATAAGAAGATTATAGAGAACAACCTTGACCGCATTATATTGTTCAGATCTTTATATTATAAAAGACAATCAACGAAAAAGTGTAACTTTTTTATAACAGATAAATAAAATAAAAAACGAAAGAGAGTGAGTTTCGAAACAAGGATTTAGTTTTCAAACTTGTGGACTGAGCATAAGAGAGTAAATGCATTATCAGAGACATCATTATGGCGAATAAGAGAAAGAAAGAGCACTAACACAATGCAAGTATCAGGAAGGAACTGCATGGAATCTCAGTATGAGAGTACAATCAAATCTACGTATTGTTTATCAACAGGCAAATTACTTTATATATTTTAAATAATGTGTTCGTCTCCATAGTTGAACGTAATAGTAAAGTTTCAAGTATGTATGATTTATAAATGATATCGAGAGCCTTCCTTGTGACGTTCCGCTTAATTAATCGCATATAACCCGAAAGGTTTTTTTTGTTAATTTTTATGAATGATCTGATTGACACTTTCCATTCTTTTCTCAAGCTTCTTTATTTGTTGATAATATTTTCGATCTAGTTTCTGGTGATAACTTCTCAGATCTTTCTAAAATCCAACTTTTAAGTCGACTCAGTGTCCTCTTAGTGTGTTCAACATAATATCGAGCTAAATAGTGATTAATGTTGTTTGATGGCGTTTTCCTGGTTTCGTAACTGTCCTTTCAGAAAAAAGGAGGCACTTTTTTGGCCAAAAAACGGTACTGACAATATTGTGTACACATCTAAGTGGCTTAAGGCGCTCAAAGAAAAGATTTCATCGTACTTAAAGTATTTTTTTCCGTGGTGCACGAGTAAATAACTAAGAAAAACACATCAAAAAGGAGTTGTTCTAGTTTAACACAGAAACATATCTGACTATTCAAATAGCATCGCTGACTGTTAAACTAATCTAATAACAAATTCTCTCTATTGAACATTCTTCTTATCATTTATTTTTTGATTGTTCTTGAGATATTTGTAGCTGAACTTTATGATAAAGTTGTGGCTGTAGAAGGCGAAGATGTTGGAGAAACGATATATTTTCTTTGAACTCTCTGATTTTTTCGCAGTGTTTATCTTTCTTCATATACTGTATTATCGACTGCCATCCTTTGTTTCCAGAATCTAATTCGCCCGTTTTAAACAATATACATACGAATGCTGATTCCTTAGCATCTTGCTTTAACCATCGTCTTACTTCATCTACTGTTTTCTGTAACCACGAGTGATTGAATTTGTTTCATATGACGGCATTGATAAAAAAATATACCTGAAACTACTTTCAGATCTAAAACTAGCGTGAATTCTGGTATTTTTTGTAAAAAAGAGAAAAATAGCTCAAAAAGAGGAGAGGTCTTGGATTAAAGAGAAAAGAAGAGGAAAAGAGGAGCATTACGAACCCAGCCGCTTTCCTATAGTGTACCATTAAACACATTTCTACCTCTATTGCCGGCAAACAACTTTCTCTAAACTGTTTCGTTTACTGATAACTTTTCAATTATCTTGTTAACTTTTCTAACAATGACTAAATAAACATCAATGAAACGGGTGACTATGAAAAAATCTTCGTTACTCGAATCTACTAAACCGCATTCTTTCGAGGGAACTTTTTTTTGAGACTTGCGCGGCCATAATTAATTACATAGAAGAATTAGTAAAAATGTACAGGTAATGTTTTCACAATATTAGCAAAAACAACTTAAGTTATCTTACACATCATCGATAGCAAGTGCATTCCGTAGATAAGAAAAAGGGCAAAAATAATTAAATTCATTTTATTAGTATAACGATCTACATCAAAAGAAAATTCAGTTTATACTCAAATGAACTATTATTAAGATTAAACTATCATTCGATGTCAATCAGCATTCAGTTCAGAATTAGACAAAAAAAGGTAGTTGTTTATATTACAATACAACTAACTTTGCTTTATTTTCTCATTTTTATTTTCAACTTTACCGGGCCCATTCTTACCTGAATGCGTCATCGTTATCTATATGTTTCTACTAATAATAAAAAACAAAGGAGATAAGTTGACCTCGGACATAAAAAAATGAATCCACGCTCATGAAAAGAAAACAAAATTGAAGAGACAAGATACTTTGTAATCGAAAGCATTTTTCAAACATAAAACGTACAGAATTACTAAATCAACACTTTTACTTCGAAAAATAAATTCAAATAAGAACTAAAATAATGGATGACTTTGATGTCTTTTCAAATCTACCATCAAACAATATTACTGTTTCCCCTGCAAATGAGAATACAAACAGCAATTTTGACTTGTTTGATTTTCCTGCTGACGAGAATTTGCCTAATCCGCAAGCTCACGAAAAGATCCCAACGAAAACAGCAGTTAGCGATCAGTCATGGGATCTAGCAAACGTAAGTAAGAGACACACTCCCTGCTTTCAATATTGTTAATACAAAATATTTGCTCGCAGGATCTTGGTAGCGAACAAGAAACAAAAACATTAACAACCCCTGAAGATGGTTCGAGCAATATACAATCACATGATAAGAATATCTTCAATAATAATGGTCCTGAAGATAATACTGAAGTCAGACTAAATGCAGCTTATACTTCGGATGTTAATGACGAATCAAATATGTTTAGTTTTAATGAAAAAAGTGATTTAACTGAAGCTAAAGTAGAAAAAGCGAACAATGATAATCTATTTGGCTCAGACGATAAACAACAATTAAATATTTTAGAGTCAACAAATATTGCCAGTGATGATTTCCCATCGGATTCTCAGAAGTCAAGTTTGTAATCAAAGAGTGAACTCTAATTTTTCTTTTCTAGTATTGGTTCTCTAGTATTTTCAGCTAATACTGCTGTCAATAATGAGTCAATTCAACAACAACAATTTGCTCCTGTTGTCAACCAAGAATTTGCAGTATCAGCCGATAAACAATCCGTTTTCGACCAATATGATAGCGAAATAATAACAACACATGATCAACAGCATTTTGTAACAGAAACATCACCGCCTGCTATATCGAGTCTATCGCAACAAGAAGAATACCCAATAACGTTGTCAGATTCAAAATATGAACAGTTTGATGATAATGAAAATGAAACATCGTTATTTGCACCACCCACCATATCTTTCGATCAAAAACGTCAATTAGAAATAGCCGAGAAAGATGCAGAAGAACAGCGAAAAACTAATGAATTAAAGCAACAAGCGAAACAGGATTTAAATCAATGGTATAATGAAAGACAAAAAAGATTAGAAGAAAAACGAAAACAAATGAAAAATGATGAAGAAATTCTTAGAACGAAAGCACAAGAAAAAAGTGTAAAGCAAACATGCAATTGGGATAAAGTATTACAATACATTGATTTTTCTCCAACATCCGGATTAACAAAGTCAAAACGGGATCTATCAAGGATGAAAACAATATTGTTGAATGTAAAACAAACGCCAAAAATGTCTAATGGAATATAACAAAACGTTAGAATAGTTTTTCAGTATTTTCTTTTGTTTTCGTTTGAATATCATTTATTAAAAAGATTCAGAAGCGTAACTATACTATATCGTACTTCTTATGACACTTACTAAGGAAATACAAAAGTGAGAATAGAAATATCCTGTAAAGGAATTGCAAACAAAACATCTTAACCTTTTAACACACAAAGCATTTTCTTTTCTTTCAATAGTAACTGTATTATTTTTCCAACAGACAGCCGTCGCAGTATAGGCATGCAAAACAGCTATCAATTTTTGCAAGAGTTGATTGACTGTCCAATTAAACTTAGTTCTGAACACTTTTCCTTTTTTCAAAATGATCTCGTAGTAAAATCATGAACATTTCTGATTTAGTAAAACAATCAAAGTTTATTCGATTAAGAAAAAAAGTTCCAAGTACTATTTTGACATAAAGTTTTATTGGATAAGAAAATAGATTTTAAGAAAAATAGATATTTTTTATAATGGCAGTTATTGATAATTTGAAGGCTGCTTACAGAAGTTTTTCTGAATTCTGTACTTCTTCTTTTCTCACATTGCACTTCAACACAAAAAATGACACTTGTGATGTTTTTACCATGTTGATAATGATTGAAACTGTTGTATTGCCGTGTAAAATTCTTGTTTCGTCGCAAANATAAAGTTTTATTGGATAAGAAAATAGATTTTAAGAAAAATAGATATTTTTTATAATGGCAGTTATTGATAATTTGAAGGCTGCTTACAGAAGTTTTTCTGAATTCTGTACTTCTTCTTTTCTCACATTGCACTTCAACACAAAAAATGACACTTGTGATGTTTTTACCATGTTGATAATGATTGAAACTGTTGTATTGCCGTGTAAAATTCTTGTTTCGTCGCAAAAGAATATATTCATCTACTATGTAATCATCTTTTCTATAAATTGCAAAATTTTGCTGAACCTCTTTGGTGTTAAATACGTGATTACCTGAAAAGTGGATGCTCGTATAGTTTTAACAAGTCAGCAAAACTTGGTCGACTATGTGCATCGTAGGTCCAACAACGAGACATCACACTGTAAACTTCTGGAGTGCAGCCTCTCGGTTGAGTAAGGCGGCCACCCTTTTGGATAAAACTCTGTACCTAAAAAGTTAATATAACATTCAACTATTTTATAGAGGCACAAATAGTTCAACCTATTTACGTCATGGTGTTCTAACGTTTCATAAGGAGATTTTCCACGCGTGTAAATTTCCCACATCGTGATACCAAATGACCATACGTCGCTTTTGCTTGTAAATTTGTGATTCGATAATGATTCTGGTGCATACCTAAATCAAAATGAACTTAAAGTTCTTTGTTTAATGCCCATCGAGCTGAACTTGCCAAGCAACTGGTACTGGAGTATCACTTCGTTGAATATAGTAATGATTCTCGGACGTTTGTCGAGATAGTCCAAAATCAGCAATTTTTACTCGTGTCTGTGACTGCATAAGAATATTTCGAGCGGCCAAATCACGATGAACAAAATGCTTTTGTTCCATGTATGCCATGCCTAGATAAATTTATTTATTCAATAATACATTTTAGAGAAGAACACACATTACCATGATTAATCTGTATGACCCACAAACTGAATAGTGATTGAATACCATTTTCCTGATGTTTATGTAGGTAATGCAGCAGTGAGCCCATTGAAAGAAGTTCTTGAACCTGTGTACAACAGATATATGTTATATTATATCTATATGCAGATATATATGTTAATCATTAACGATAAAAGAAAATGCCTTGAACGTTTGATGCCATGCAAACGATGTTAGTTAGTTAAGAATAGCCAGTATATAAGCAATATTGAACATATATTTCCTAAAAATAATACTTATTTTCATTAACCAAAGCATTTTTCAGCATTATTTTTGTTCATTTTGCCTCTTTTTTGAATCCCTGCACATACCATGACAAGAGAATTACGTTGTTTTGAATTTGCTATACCATAGAGACGTACAATGCATGGATGCGTTAATTCTTTCATAACAAATGCTTCTTTTTTCATTTCTTCATAAGCTTTCACGTCCATATCTTTAAGAGTTTTTATGGCAACAGGAACCTGTATGAAATCTATTCCACTAATAATCATCTGGAAAATTATATAAAATTCTATACTTACAATTTTACCATGGTGCTCTTGATAAGTTCCTTCGTATACTATACCAAAATTACCCTCGCCAAGTAGTCTTCCAAAGGTCAGTTGTTCAAGTTGTATAACGACAACTTTTTTATTCACTAGTGGATTCAATAAATGTTCCTCTAAAATAGTAAAAAGACACTAAATATGATGTTATGCATAAATTAATCATAATACCCATGACATTCAACACTTTGTGTTTGTTATGTACATTGTGTGATAAATTTTTTTTGAAAGGGTTTATCGCTTGAAGCAGTAGATGTTCCGTAAATATATTATTTTTTTTAGAGTTAATACGTACTTGAAGATGCTGAAAAAACATCGAAATTCATTAACCCTAAATCATATGAAGAGAAAAGTATGTTTACCCAATGTGGATGAAGACGAATGACGAAGAGACATAGATGGCTTATCGTTCGAAAACGCAACAGCATTATACACTTTACTGGTCATTTCTGAAAAAAAAATAAAAGTTTTTACAAATGTTCAGTTTAACGTGATATACTAGCAAATTTTAAAAAAAAAGAATCGCCCAGTGGTAGTTTTATCTGAGATTTTCGAGGCTTCAGAAACGCGTAGAGATAGCCACTAGACTTCTCAGCTTTAGCAAAACTCTCACCCGGAGATAATGGTTTGACAACGTGTCTGAATGTTTTCATAAAACTATCAACAGCATGTTCAAGACTATCATAAAACTGTAACTGATCATCGAAATAATAAGAATGATTGTCCTACAACAAAAACATACTCTCATAAAAAGAAAAAATACATACATGTGATAACTCACTTTTCTATGTATTTTCAAGTGCACTAAAGTATTTTTCCATATAAGAGAAATAGCGTAATCATCCTGTGCAGTTAAGCTTTGTCGTACAAAAAAATAACCATCACTTTTTTTGAAATAATTTAATATAGCTTGCATTTGCTAAAGACGAATGTAGACTAGATTAAAATCAAAAACTGTTCTAAAATAATTTACTTTATATGTCAATGAACCATGATAGTACATTGAACGATTTGATAATGCAGGCTTGACTCGTAGTTCAGCTATATGAAAAGAGAACAAAAATCAATAATTTTCACTAGAAAATAACCTATAATTACTTACATAGTTTTACAGCACATTCACGTGCCTGATGTTTAACCGCTAAATCATAAGGAGTTTCTAGAGCTTCAGTCAACGGTCGTAGAGGTGACTCATAATTCAATAAACTCTAGAAAAGTAGAAAAAATAGTATCTTCAGATATTAAAGTGTATTTTATGCTATAATACCATAACTGATTCTATATTATTGCATGCAGCAGCACAATGTATAGGTGCATAAAAATTGAATGGATTTCGACAGTCAACATCGGCCTGTCCACGCGTAACAAGCAATTCAATGATTGTTGGACAGTTGCCAAGAGCTGCTTGCTGAAACATCACTTTTAAACAATAATTATCTTCTTTTTTTGAGACGTTCATTTAACATACATGTAATGATGTCCAACCAAGTTTGTTAACAAATTTCGAACTAGCACCTGCATTCAATAATTCTTTAACTGCATCTTCGCGTCCAAAAAATGATGCTTCATGTAACGGTGTGTTACCTAAAAACAAACAAAACAGATAACATTAAATTATTAGCTTAGCCACACTTCTTTTCTATGCCACCTTCTTCATTTTTTGAATGAATATCAGGACAAAGTGGATCATTTAAAATTTGTGCTATTAAATCTCGTTGACCTTCAAAATAAAAAATAAACTATTATCAAATTTTTTCTAGTATAAAATAACTTACCTTCTGTTGCCGCTTGATGTAACACAGTAGATTGACCACGACGTTGCGCGAATGGAGGTAGTGGTTGTCCGCGTACTGGAGTACTTAAAGGACATTTTAAATACTTGGCACCATCAGTTTTATAAAATTTAATTAATTCTTCGAGAGCTAAAAACACAATGAGAAATTATAGTGCAAGCTTAAAATGCTAGCAGATTATCAGCTTGGAGCACGTCTCTTTGTTCAATTAAACAATCTATTTCCTCTTTCTTTCCCTCAATTGAATGAACTTTAGACATTCTTATCAGTTTAGATTACACGTACAATAAAAGGTTGAATCCGTTTTTTCGTCCAAAAATGTTCCATTTCCTACATGATGGCATCGATAGTGATGACAGTGTCGATCTTTAATTAATGATAATACAAATTCGTTCTCATCACGTCTCGATTGTCTCATTAAATAGATGCCATTTTGATTATGATCTAAAAGAAGTGACATTAATGTAAAACAGTTATTTAAATTGATTGTGATTAAGTACACATACTTATATGATAATTTTCTTTTAAAATTTTTTCACTCGCTTCTCTATCACATGCACCATAAAAACATTCCATATCCTCACGACTTACTGAACGTTGTTAATCGGCTTTCAATGAAGTTCGTTGTCTATGTATAGAAAAAAACAATTAGTATGAAACTAGTACGCAAAAAAACATCTAAAAATTACCTTTGAGCAATTTTGAGCAAGTTACTGCTCTTAGCTTTCTTCTGGTGATTTAAAAATTTGAATACATAAACTAAAAGTGATTACCCTAATGAATATACTTGAGATAAGCAGTTCGTCTATACAATGAAGTCGGTGCTTGCTTTTCTTCCAAAATTAAATTTACTTATAAGTGTTTGGCAAGTGCTTCACAAAGTACTTCGTAGCAATAAAACAACGTATTGCAATTTTAGAGAATTACTCGTAAAAGTACATCACAAGTAAATAATTTTGAAATTGCCAATTTTCGAAGTACCAAGTAATCAAGCACTTCGATCAAATATGTTCATTTGGATAGGGAAATGTTAATCGATTTTTTTAAATTTAAACTCCGGTTGTTGGCAAGCATGACTGACTGATCCTTTATTGTTATATCTACATATAACACACCGACGGTTACTTTGTTAAGCTTACTGTTTCTAAAATCCAACTATAGATTTTCTCTAATAACTGAATATCTACGGTCATGCCTATTATCTATAGTCGTGTCTTTATCCACACGTATCGAAGAACAGTGGTGACGGTAAAGGATCATCCCCTTATGCTTGCCAAAAATTGGAGTTTAGATAAGAAAATCGATTATTACTTCAACAGCTCCTATAGGTACCCAAGGACTTGAATAAAAATACTTTCGGTGATGGAAATGGGTATAATTATCTTTCTTTGTACTGACTAGGGATAAGTATTAGTAGTTCTTCATTCTTACATTACTACTGCGCGCTATTGAGAGTTCGCTGGCCCCATTGAGAAAAGAAAAAACTGCATGAGTAACGTGGGGGCATTATGAATTATCATTATTAAATGAAGAAAATTCCTGTAGCAATAGGTAAGCACGAGTATCTGCTTTTAAATTAACTGAGTGTGTATATTCTCCGTTTGATCGAACTCCCGAACCATCCTTTGTTTTGCCAGTGACACAGCTATATAACAGTCACATATTTCTGGAAAAAATATCAAAGTTTTCTTATATATTTACTGATAACTAACAGGTCAGTGACCACTAATGAGTCATTAACGACTGATTAGTGTCTTAAGCTTCGATTAATTAGGACTAATGGCAGCTGATACTTAATTAGTCGTATGAAAATTTGTGGAAAACACTAATCTGAAAGTAGAAAAAAAGAAAAAAGGTGAAGCTACGGGTAAGAATCGAACATTTGACTCAAAAATGTTTCAGAATCAAGTACATAAGCGTTCAGCTAAAAAAGAAAAACAGTCCCGCGGGACTTTTCAACAGGAGTCCCGTGGGACTCGACTAGGGAATACTAAGTTGAGCAGTAAAAGTATCGAGGAAAAGGTATTTCATCAAAAATCAAATATTATCTATAGTTAACTTGTATTTGTCTCATGACAGAGTATACTGCGGTAGTTTTTTAACAGTACATCCAAAACACATCTATACTGGAACCAGCGGACTCATCAAGCTATCATTATGACTGCCAGCTTCCCCTTTCACATTTTCTTAAATCATATCACCGGAACAAAAAAAATAAAGTTGGTTTAGAGTTGCTGAAAAGTAGTTTTTCGTATTCATCACACTCGATAACCCAGAAGATTTTCTATTTTTGGCCCGGTGTACTTCCGAAAGTTTAAGAAAAATTTTGAAACAAAATGGCGCAAAAAGTTTTCCATGGAAAAATAATATTAATTTGAAAACTTATCCTAAACTTTCGGAAGCACCTCGGGCCAAAAACAGAAAATCTTTTGGGTTATCGAGTGGAGTGTGCTGCATACGAAAAACTACTTTTCAGCAACTCTAAACCAACTTTATTTTTTTTCCGGTGATATGTCATACTATTTATGATTTATCGATTCGAACCAAGAGGGAAAAATGGTAAAACTAGTAACAAGTCAATAAATCAAGTTACGTTTTTTTAATAAACAGCTTGTTTTTTGTATGTAACTTTTCTTTTTTGTAAAATAAATCGTTGAATTGTAAACACGTTCAAATCGTGATCGAACGCAAAATGAAATGAAATAAAACAGAAGGTATAAACTTAACTTTTCAATTTTCCCAGTAAGTATTAAGTTAATTTGTTAAAAAAGTTTGCTCCGCTGTAAGCAATGTTTGCCTCGCTTTAGATGTAGCATAAACACATCAATGATGTTGTCAAGAATTCTACCTTCAGTCTATTTTCTACTGTTCTAAAAAAACTACATATGTACTCAAAAACTAAAAGAAGTTTTTCTTTGTAAGCCATTATGTCGTTTGTTGCTGCTCTGTCTCGTAACTTCTCCACTTTTGCAGCTCTTTCCTGCTTCTAAATACTCTTGTTTCTAATCACAGCTTCATCCGATGAGTTTCGTTGCCAAGTAAGCAAAGAAATCTTAGATATGAACACATATTTTTCAGCTGATTTCAGTATCACTATCTGTAAGTCACAGAGATTCCTGTCACTATCAGTCACTGACATAATAAAAGAGTCTGAAAATGAGGCTCTATGTAGTGATGGGACGTATATATGTGTGTTATTTACCAGGAAGTCTATAGGATAGTAAGCGAACGAATACATTTTTGCCGTGTAGATGTCGGATTTCAGCGCAAAAAAAATGGGTAGGACTTTTATGGAGGAAGCGAAATTTGATTGAAAAGAGAACGGTCTATTGAGAACTGTGTACATAAAGTCAAAAACTGTTTCCGTAGCACAACCACGTCGTCAAGTATGAACGTATTTTCCAGTTTTCCATTCGACTTTTGGAGTTTAGTGCTCTAGTCGTGAAAATACATATCACCGATATGTAAAATTTTTAAATAGGACTAGAGTCGATAAAAACTACATTTTTGGATAGAGGACAGCCGATTGTATATGTATCCACCAAAACCGGCTCGGAGTACTGCCATTAGGGAAGCACAGGACGAGGAACGATAAGATCGCAAATCGACCCCCTTTCAAATCAGTATTAAGTTACCTCATCTGATGCAGTTTTGAGGTTAATCCATGATTAACCCCAACATATTTTTAGACCGTAAAAATCCTTTTCAGTGACCCTGGAAACCCTTCAGCAAAAAAAATCTTTGCTCGTTAAATGACCTTTACTTAAAGTATTTTCATTATTCCACTTCTTTCGCCTAGAGCAAACACAACCTATTATCCACCGACCGATAAAGAATTTCACGGGCTACACAATGATATATAAGAGAGTCTTAAAATGTAACTAGGCAGTCTAAGGTTAGAAATACTCGGTAGTATCTCAGCAAACCGGTAGGTCAACGTGGTTCATGTTTATAATAATGACTTATTTTCTCGTTAACCACTCCACTTCATACATCATTCGATAGAGTATTTCACGGGCTAGAGAATGATTTATAAGAGTCTTAAGAAGATGTAACCGGGTAGTCTAAGATCGGAAACACTCGGTAGCATCACAGTAAACCGGTAGGTCAACGTCGTTTGCCTCTATAATAGTGGCTAATCTTCCTGTTAACCACTCCACTTTATACAAGTATTCAATAGAATTCACTAGATAACAGTAACATCTACTGTTACTAGGAAATAGTCAAATTTAAGTGAAAATATGGATAAAACTTTTAAAATTTCTCGGATCGATCTGTCCCGTCCGACTTGAAAATTTTTTGGGATGGCCCATCCGACCCGAGAAACAGATCAACCGATTTGAACCGTCCGAGCCCAAGGTGAGTCGGTCCAGGGTTGGGTGGACCAATAGAAGCTCTGCTACTTAACACAAAATTACAAATAGCACAAAATAAAGAAGTTCGAGCAGCACTTGGGATGCTACGTTGCACATCGAGTAAATATATTCAGCAATGAAACGATTTACCGAAAATCAAACACTGCGTTATCACATTGACACAAAGAGCATTAGCCATTGAGGATAATATAACAGAAGAAAACATAAATGACATTTTGACAGAACTTTGAATAAATTTTTTGTTGTTTATTTTTGTTTTTGTTGTTTACACGATTGTCTTTTTCTTGATTTGAGAGCTGTTCGTGTCTCGCACGTTTGATTTGTCAAGTAAATATATCGAAAATTTTATTTTTTAAAACTGAGCAAAAAAATAACAGATTAACAACCGCGCTTTTATTCTATTGTGTATAATGGATGTAGATAAAAAGAAGAATAAAAAATCATAAGAACTACATGAAATCAATCTTGATCAAATCAAGAAAAAAGAGCAGCCCTATTAACAATAACAATAACCAAATTCTTCAAACTATACAAACAAACATATAAAATGAAAAACGACAGTGTCTTATCGCATAACATAGGCATTTCAGTTGCTGTCTCGCGGCAATCTAGAAATGACGAGTACAAAAGCTTATTTTCGGTTTAAATGTGCACAAAAATAGGCAATGATTATGAGATTTTAAAAATGAACGAAAAGAACTTTATTTGAGCATAAAACATACATAAATAAGATGAAACGGAAAAAGCTGTACACAACTCATTCTCCCTCTCTTTCCTTCCAGTCGCGTCCATACACACTTTTGAAACAACGAAATTTAACAAGCATATTGTGTGAACGGATTACTAATTATTCTATACATTCAGACGAATAATTGAATGTACGATGGAATTCGATTGTACTTTGCTGTTATTGTTAATTAGCATCGATGCAACATTAGCTTAAAAGATAAAATATAAGTTTTCGTTGATCAATTTAGTTAGCATGTACTTCGAAACCATCACATTATCCTGAGCTGTCCTGCATATTATGGAGATCATCTTTCAACTGGCTGGCATGTGTGAGAGATAAACGACGCTTCTAATTGAGCCGAAATTTGCCAATGTCTGACTAGGGACTACTAAGAGAGTAATACCACTAAGCAAATTTGTTTTCGATTTTCTCATTTTTCTTCTTTTTAGAAACTTACTTTTCATACAAACTTAGAATTAAGTTATAAGAATTGTGAAAAAAAAACTGAAACATACTTTAATTCACATTTTCAATGTCATTAATCAACGAATCCACTAATTGTTCTTTTGTTGCTCATCTGTGTTGATCCTTGGGGAAATTTCATTTGATTTTGTTAGTGTTGTCGTTTGTTGAGTTGTTGGGTCAGAATCAGATTCTTCTTCTGCTCCTTCCAGCCACTTTATCCATTGATTCACTTGAAATAAAGCTTTTCCCTTCTCCGGATAATCGTCGTTAATATCTTCTTTCCATGTATAATAAGCATCTTCATCGATAATATCTAGATCATATGAATATTTGAATAATCTTAACAACAATTCTTTTGGAAATTGCTTCTTATATGCTAGTAGCTGTAGTGCATACAATGCTTGGACTTGCTGATCAATCGTTGTAATATATTTCTGTAAACAATGCCGATACTTTTCTATTTCTTCTTTTTCTTTTATTAATGTCTGTTTATCTGGTCGTTGTTGAATATTCGTGGTTGTTAACGTTGTACGATCAATGGCTACTTCATAAATACATGTAATTAGTGTTTGAATAAATTGTTCATCCTGCTGATTATAACTGATTATTTGTTCATCAATTATTGTTTCTAATTCATTACTAGTAATGTTCGTACACAAGCACTCAATGAGTTTACAACGAAGTTTTAAATATGGACATAAATAGGCTAAACGTCTGTCTTCTAAAACATTTAATAACAAATCATCTTTACGATTTTCAAGTGGCAACATATCACTCATATTGATTTTAGATTTTTCTAACAAATTGTACATGTATACTTCATTATTATTATATAATTGTTGTAATTGTTGTAAAAGTAATAGAAATAACGGATGATATTGGCCATCTTTCAAAATTTTACATAGATTCGCCAGTGATAGTAGGCAATTCGATGATGATAGTGTCTGTTTTTTAGGTGGAAATAATTGTTTTTCATCTAAACTTGATGAAATTAGTTTAGCTAAGATAAATGAAAATTCGGATTTAAATAATGGAATATCTTTTTCATGATCATTGGTTTTTTGTAACAGGTTTGAAATAACTGTGATACATTGATCATTTGTAAATAAACTGTTTTTATACAATTCTTGCAATAATTTACATAGCGAATCAATATTCTTCTTATGGTTATAGATAGATTTTATCAATAAATATTCGCCAAATTCAATTGTTTGTCTCTTTGATAATTTTAAATGACGTATTTGTTGAACAATTGTCTCCGTATTATTTTCACTTGTTAAATAGGTATCATACTTTTCATGTAATTCTTCTAATGACAATGAACTAGCAGAAACGGTTGAAACATTTTGTAACTGAGCTGTGATTGTTGTTGATGGTATCGATGTTTTTATCAATGATGATAAATTACTTTGTTGTTTTGTCAATGGATGATTATTAACAATATCTGTATTATGATAAGTGTTCGATGTTTGTGATCGATTGATTTGATGCGCTGGTGGTTTTTCCAACTGTAAAGGAATCATTTGAGACGCTTCGCGATCAGTCGGTAACCAAACTTTAGCTCGCGTTTGGGGACGTGGTACAGAATTTCGAGAAGCAGGTGTAAATAATGGAACATTTGTTATTAGAGAAGGACGCACGAATGGTTTCAGTTGTGGATTTGTTTTATTTTCATTATCACCATTGGCCTCATCCACGACTGTTGCTTTACATGCTGACGATGGTGCTGTCGTGGATGTTTGACGTTTGTCACCGTTGGTTTGATCAGATAACGTCTTTGATTTATTACCATTTGAAACAGTAGTTGGCGATAAACGATGATCATTGGTAATATTATTGCTAGTTTCAAAAGGATTCATTAGATTTAGATTTGAATTATTCTCATTTCTTTGTTGGCCTCTTGTCTTTGGTGATGTAGATGATGATACTCCTGTTTGTGTAGGACGAAAATATGACGATGAGAACTGTCTTTGTTGTTGTTGATAATGTGGAGAATGTTGCGCATTGTCTAGAACAAATAATGTCATTAAACATATAACATCTCATTCAAAAACCAAAAGGATAATGGATCACATAGTAAAAGAATCCTTATAGAGAAAGTTTTCATCAAAATCAATTACTAATAATTATACACGTTTATCTAGAGAAGGCGCGATCAGTTATGTATTCGGAAAAAGTTTCTGAAAAACGAATAGAAAAAAAAAATCTGGAACATAGACAGCGGAACAAGTTGGGTCTAGGTAGGCTCAACATTTTTTAATATCTAAAATAACACAAAAAGATTTTTTATTACCAAATCTATATTAGGCTCAAGCCTACCCTAGCCTACAGGCTCCGTTGCCTATGGAATATAGAAACATCATACCTGTTGATATTGGATATAAACGTTCGAACTGAAATCGATCAGACGATAACTGAGGATTGGTGCCACCAGTACTCGTGGTGGTAATTTCTGCTTGAGATCGTGCAGGTGCCATTGAGAGCTGTGTGAGAGGTCTTTGAGCCATATGTGACCACTTTGTATCGTATGGACGCTGATTTTGTATTTGTGCAGGTCTGATTGGCCTGTTTGGCATTTGATACATTATATCGGATGTTGATTGAAATTGTAGTGCATATGGATAAGAAAAAATCGCTTGTTGTTGTTGCTGTTGTATTTGTTGTTTTTGCCTGTTTATCGATTCTTCGCCGGTTAATTTTGTTTCGTTTTCTTTTAGAGCGATCCGCTGCCTCCAATTATTCTCGCGTAATTCAATAACGTCTTGCAATATATATCTTATACGAGATGGTAAATCTTTATTCGCTTGTAGTTTTTTAATACGTTCAATATATTGATCCATTAAGTTTTTTCCTTGTTGGTTGTCTAGTTTTTTACCAATTGTTTGCATTATTTTTGTTAAACATTCTAAATCTTCACATTTTTCACTTAAACTTTCATTATTACTGCTTGTTAATAATGTCTTAATGCATTTGTGTAGAATAGCTTCGGATACCAAATCTAATTTACCTAATTCGCCGATAAATTTTATATTTCCCACAGCTTTTTTCTTTCCTTCTATACGCATTTCGATGGGCGTCAATGATGATTGTTGTTGATCTAAGTGTTGTTCCGGTCTGTAGTCAGGAAATTCATTATTACCATTTTGTGTTGTTGTTTTAGCTCGATTCTCAAACTCATATTCGCATTTAGCTAATAGAAGACGACGAAATGTTTTGATTATTGAATCAGATGGTTCGAAATTCGGTGCATCTTTATCTAATCGACGACATAATTCAGCGTATAATCCACAATAATTTGGTTCAACTAAAGATTTTTCGAATATTAATAAAATAATCCCTTTTAATCTAAAATATTCAAAAGAATAGCCCGTGAATTAGACTACACAAATATCTGTGCAAATAACTAAGAAACTTACACATTTGGTGAATCAATACCAATATTCAACAGATCAAAAGTTAGCTTTTCAAATTTTTCTGGTGTTAATTTATTTAATAGACCGCGACAACGACGAAAAACATCATTGTGTCGATCTTCTTGTGTTTTTTGAGTTTCACGATAACGTACAGAACTTGGAGCTATCCATCTTGATTTTTTCTTATGATCAACTAAATTATCAGTAGTGCCAGTGGTATTTTCAATAGGGATAAGTTGTTTTTGATCGTCCGATACGGCAATAGTCGGAATGATTGGCGTTAAAATTTGGTTGTGAACGTCCAGATTTATTTGATTATATTGATTAAAATTTGACACTTTTGATAAGGAAAATATTTTTAGTGGAATTAAACTGTGCTGTAAACGACGAGTCTGTCTCACTCACATACACAGAAACAAAATTATATTTTAATTCTAAAAAACACAATAAAAATCAATTAGACTTTGTTAGAGATCTTACATTACAGAAAAATAATCAGTGAGTGTTCTCCGTTAAAACAAAATGCATAGTGAACAATTTGAATGTACAAAAAATACTTAGGGAGTAACATTCAGAGAGAATCTTATTGTGTCTGAGATTTTATTTCACTTTTATGCATTAAATTTTACCTTGGGTCTAGTCTTTTTGTTATTTTTATTCAAATCGAAATCACAACTCTTTATACTAAATATTCGATTTAAAAGCAAAGAGCAAGAGTGAAGTAGAGCAATAAAAGTAAATTCGCCTAGCGTTGTTGAGGATAAGGATTACAAAGTAAATGGGATGACATACTATGGCGAAATCAAAGCAGATCAGAAGAAAGATAAAGAGAAAGACGAAGTAAAATTTTCTTTTATCAAAGTAGAAATCGAATTTTGATGAAAAAAACTCGTTTTCTCTTGCAGTTCCAACTATTAAAAACTCTACTTCGAATTAGTTAGAAGAACAGTCTCTATAACATTGATTTAGAGCTATTGCAAAACCAAAGAATAGTTGGGTTTAGCTCAAATATTGAGAAAAATTACGCAATTTGAAAACTGAAAGGCAAGTACATTTATTTCGTTTCTGTTTCGGGGTTAGTTCGTCCGTTTATTTATTTGGAGTCATGCCAGCCTCATGTGGCTATATCCTTCATTTTACCATAAATATCAGAAGAAGTGGAAGCAAGAACCCTGGGAATTCTTCATGTTTTATATATGGTGAAAATTCTGCCCATACCACTTGAGCTGTGGTTTTTTGAAACAGATAGCAACTAGTCAACATCGTTGCTCGTATGTTGAATGGTCTTTCACAGCAACCAATGAATATCTGGCACATTACCCTCTACATTTTCATTTTTTGTTTGTTGATATGATGAACTTGATATGTTCAGAATATGGTATACTGCGCCCTCCATAGGTGTGATATTATAAAAACTTACGAATTACAAGTTACAGTTAAACATAACACTAAGTATTCGAGTTTTTAGTGCACGATGATTACAGACACCATTCCAACAGGTACACATATCCAGACGTGTGTGCCGATCGGAAAATCGGCGGCGGTTGAAAAAAATGTTCAGTCAGCGGAGACTAAAAGAGTTATTTAAAACTTTGGATCGTCAGCGGAGGTGCGCAACCAAATTTGAATATGAAAGTTAGTTTAAGCCAAGATTCACTGTCAATTTTATCAAAATAATGAGGGTAAAGCAAGTTTGTGCAGCGAGGACATCCAAAAACTTCGGTAGCGGCCCTAGTCGAGATTCCCGGCCAAAGTCCCGCGGGAGTCCCGGGGCCTGTTTCTTAAAAAAACTTAAGTAGAAAATCTTACTTAAGTCAAAAAAGACAAAGACTTTTTAGACTTAAGTTTGACTTAAGTAAGATTTTCTACTTAAGTTTTTTTAAGAAACAGGCCCCCGGAAAGAACGTCCCGCGAGAGTCCCATTGGACTCTCGTCACGGGGTCTCGTCGGAAGTCCCGTGGGACTTTTTCATAAACTCCCGCTGGAGCCCCAGTAAAACCCCGAAAAATCTAAACAAAATTGAAAAATGTCCCACGAGAGTCCCGGCAGGATCCCGTGACGGGAGTCCCTATAAAACCTTCGAAACGAAAAATTGTAGACAGTTCGCAAATGTCTTAAATTAAATTTTCAACTCTTTTCTGCATTTTGAGATCTCTTGGGACTCTAGAAAATCTATCCTCAAAAAGTTATGATTAAAACGCCGCTAGCTATATTTCGATTTATTTTTTGGAAAAGTGGATCTCGCCGTTTTAATCATA